GTGTGTGTGTGTGTGTGTGTGTGTGTGTGTGTGTGTGTGTGTGTGTGTGTGTGTGTGTGTGTGTGTGTGTGTGTGTGTGTGTGTGTGTGTGTGTGTGTGTGTGTGTGTGTGTGTGTATGTGTGTGTGTATGTGTGTGTGTATGTGTGTGGGGGGAGCCCTCGCGTGTGTGTGTCGTTGTTTAGTGTTTCTGTTGGCGTTTACGTGAGTGATATGGCACGAAAGCCAGCGCAGTTATATAGGGTCAGATCGTGTCAATGTTTTTAATAAGCTATACATTGGCAATACAGGATCAATATGTGATAACTTATACGTTGGCCTTCGTTGGTAGTTACACTGTTGTTTTAGTTTGCGATCGCGCGGGGGACGCTTTGTTTGGAAAAAGCCTGGCATAGGTTCCGAATAATATCAAGCATAATAGAACGGGTGAAGGGTGTATAAATAAGTAGCCGACCGATCGTGCCGAAATAAAATTCCAGACGCACAAGTGATGTAGCAGCTTTGAACAAATAATACTAAAACAAAATACAATTACAATTAATACATAAATGCCTCTACATACTTCTACGTTTACCTCATTCATCCAATACGAGATAGTAAAGGATGGAGTTTTCTTGTATAGCATCGACGTACGTGTCGTACATTTTGACGAAATGGAAACCGTGTATAATTCATATAATGTGTAAACATGTGACAATGTGTCGCAATTGTCGTCAATGTTGTTACTGTTAGTTTTGTTTATTTGTCTAGGCAAAATAATTAATTAAATAATTTGCCCAGGATTTCCTCTTAATTATGATGAGAACATCTCACTCGTAATATTAATCGCACGAACTACAAATGGCGCAATGTGTTGCACGAATACGTTGCCGCCCAGAATAGACGTGGCCAAGAGGAAGGATTACATCTGCTTTACCATGCTGTACGTTGCTGGCCTACATCACACCACACGCACACACATACATACACACACGCACACATACACACACACACACACACACACACACACACACACACACACACACACACACACACACACTTCCTTCTTCCGCCCCCTTCTCTATGCTTCGCCCGTCTCTCCCCCTTTCTCTCTCTCGGTCTCTTCTTCCTCTCCATCGCACCTTTCCGCCTTCTTTTTTCTTCCTCTTTTTTCCTTCCGCTCCATCTCCCTCCTCTTCCCCCCTACTCATGCTCTATCTCTAAGCTCTAGCCGTTCAACCTGCCGATCGACACATGTTCTGCCCGATTGCATCTGCTCTACAGAGGAGCTCTAATGAAATGGTAGCTGCCAGCAAAATGCTACAAGAATGTCATGCGGTTTAATTGTCGGCACCAGCAAGCAGCTGCATGCTTGCTTTCCACACGCATGGCTACCAGCTCCCCCACCCCCACCCCCACCACACTCTTCTACCCCTCTGTCTGTCTCTCCGTCCCTCTGGCTTGCTCTCTCCCTACCTTCTACTAC